AGGATATGCACCTGTATTGACAGCAACATCTAGTACGTAAATCCAGATGACAGCGACGACAATGATAGTCACTTTCACGCCATGCGACTCAGGATCAGCTCCAAATAGGGCCAGGAAGCCTCCGACGATCTCTTTGATCCAGGCAAGAAACATCAGCGCTGATGCGGTAGCGGCAGCTCCGATAAGCATGAAGGGCTTGCGTTTTCCCCAAGAAACTCTACAATTATCACTTAGCATGCCAATGTATGGTTGGACCAAGGTTCCGGTAATGGGACCGGCAATCCACACAAGAGCCATGAGAGACTTGCTCAACCCGAGAGACAGGAGATACGGCGAGCCATTAGAGAGCTCGACGGCCCAAGCAACCTGAAGGCCTCCTATGCTGATGGTCAAAAGTATAAGATACCAGATGCTCTTCGTTGTCTGCGAGTCGTCGTGGTCCTCATATTCCTCACGTCTCCCGATCAGATAATCCTGATCATCCCCTACGGGAGATAGGAGGGGCGAATCTTCAGTAACGACATCTGATATGGAGCCCGTCGTGAGATGTCCCAGCGGGTTTCCAGAAGGTAAAGGGCTAGCATTATGGCTCGGATCGGCCGAGTGCTCGCTATGGCGAACAGGCGAAGGATCGCGATCCGAGGAGGAGGAGCTCGACGAGGAGGAAGAGGAGGAAGAGGACGATGACGAGGTCATGCGGAAATTGGCTGTGATCGCTTCCTAAGGGATTGTTCGGTTTTTGCAAGATCTATCTTGCATCCCTTAGCTAGATATGTTCGCAACTCTGCGTGTATTGGATTGGTAGCGCGGATGTTCCCCAACCGGTTGCAGGCAAGAAGCGATTATATCATAGTCGTGTTGTGTGAAGTTGAAGAGACAGTAGGAATGATGGTTGCAAGAGCTTATCGCAGGATCGGTAAGGGTTTCGTCACGGGGGAAGTTTTAACAATCACGAGACTGCAGGTACAAGAAGGGATGGATGGATGGAAGATGTAGACAAAGTACCTAACAAGGCTACAAAGTACTGAAACAAGGCGCCTTCGAGATATGACACTGACGCTAAAGCCCTGGCGCAAAGTCCACGACCTTGGGAGACACGGACGGGAGAATACAGCACGACGTAGGGTACCTAGGGTACCTACATGTACCTACCTACTACATGTATGTAGGTAGACAGACACATGTTGTTGGCAGAATGGAAGGTACAAACAGGAAGAGGTGGTAATTTATAATAACCGGGAAATGGCACAGGATTTAGTGGCATGTTGGCTTCTTTAGACGAGTCGTGATAAAATAATTAGGAGAGTTTACGAGAGCAGTCGCATTGCATCAGAAGTATCGTCCTCGAATTTCCATTTCCAATAGCGGAGCTTCCCAAACCCCGATCGTCGGGTCCAGACAGCTGCAGAACACTGGAGCTCTGCTCGGATCAGATGGAAGCCCCCATGAGGGAAACTTTACGTGTTACGAAATCTGGCCCACAGCGGCAGGTACGTACCTCTGTATCGTGTAAGTCGTGACAGCATTGACGTTACCTCGACCTTGTAGTTTATAAGTTGAGCAGTACCTTACTCGGTGTGTACGTATGTACTTGACGGTACTGTAGATAGGCAGTTATATGTGCTCCTCATCTCCTACTTGGCTTCTATAGATTTCGATGTGCATGTTAATTTCTGAAAGGCGATAACTTGCTCATGATGAGAACAAAATATTAAAACAAGACACCTAACGTCAAATAAGTTTCAGCCACGGCGAAGAGAAATATACCAATATACCTAGGTCATGTAGGATACTACATATGTACAGTGCCTAGCAGGTACGGCTATACGGCTGGCCTAGCAATGGCTGCTGCAGGGATTAAGAAAGCTATTACTCTCGACTAGGCTAGACAGTGGGCAGAGTGGGTCGGTCGCCTGCGCGTCGGTTCCTTCTCTCAGTCTCTTGACTGCGAGTAACTGCCAAAAACCGCATAGAGGAAAGCTGTCGACTTCGAAAAAGGAAAAAAAACTTCCCAACTCCAAAACCCATCTGCCTTACCTGATCCCATCACCTACCTAGTCTTTCCCATCGCATCGTGTGACTACCTCATGGTCTTGCGCAATTGATGCCTCCGCACGCCGCCTTCCTATTGCTCCGATCCGAGCAGACGACGTACTTATCGCTCAAGCACCAGTATCCCACCTGAGTGAGGGTTGTGATTCCATTATCTATACCGGGCGAGACCAGCAACACTGTCGCCGGCATGTTGCCCGAGATCGCCAGCTCCGCAATGGAGCTTGCCAGTATGTCCTCCCGTTTGCGATACCCATCTTCTCTAGCATCCAGCTTTTACTAACTGCTGCCCGCCGCACAAAGGACGAGTCGCCGATGAAGAGACAGATCCCGATGGTACTTGATCCACCGTCAACTCCTCCCCCGCCATTGCGATCTGACAAGCCGCAACAGACACCGACTCGGGTGAAAAGGAGGTATTCTCGTCACTGGCGCTCTTTATCTCCATAGTGCTCCTGATTATTGCCTTCTTCACGAGCTACATGCTCCAGCAGAAGAAGGTACAGGCCATCCACGAGACCGTCATCTCCATCTTTGCCGGTGGGTCGCACTGACACCTGCACACGAATACGTACTGACTGAAGTCATCAGGAATGACGGTGGGGTTGATTCTTCGAGTGAGCACCGATTCCTCTATCCGACAGCTCGTGAGCTTCGATTACCAGATCTTCTTCAACCTCCTTCTACCGCCCATTATCCTAAACTCGGGATACGAGCTGCATCAAGCCAACTTCTTTCGAAATATTGGTACCATCTTGGTCTTTGCTTTTGCCGGCACATTCCTGTCCGCCGTCGTCATTGGACTGTTGCTGTGGCTGTACATCCAGCTACCCCTGGAGCCTTTGTCCATGACTTTTAACGATGCCATCTCCGTCGGCGCAACCTTGTCCGCCACCGACCCTGTCACTATTCTCGCCATCTTCAATACCTACAAGGTCGATCCGAAGCTATATACCGTCATCTTTGGCGAGTCTATCCTGAACGATGCTATCGCGATCGTCATATTCGAGACGGCACAGAAGTACAAGAGCGATGCTGCGAAATCCTACGGCATTATTAGTTTCATTGGGGGTATAGGCACTTTTCTGCTCAACTTCTTCGGCAGCTTGGTAATTGGGGTAGCCGTTGGTGTCGGCACTGCTCTTGTATTAAAGTTCACCTACGTGAGGCGATACCCGCAGATTGAGACATGCTTGATAGTCTTGATCACCTATGCGAGCTATTTCTTTTCGCAAGCAGTGAGAATGTCAGGTATGTGCGCGTTCTATTCCAATAAGCATCGGGGAGTATTTGGCTAAATACCGAGCAGGCATTGTGTCTTTGCTATTTTGCGGTATCACCCTCAAGCACTACGCCTACTTTAATATGTCCCGGCGGACCCAGCTTAGTACCAAATATTTCTTCCAAATTTTGGCCCAGCTGTCTGAAAATTTTATCTTCATCTACCTTGGGTTGTCACTATTCACAGATAACGAGCTCCAGTTTCAACCCCTCTTGATTATTGTCACTGTAATCGCAGTCTGCGCCGCAAGATGGGTCGCTGTCTTTCCACTATCGAAAGCTATTAACTGGTTCCATCACTACCGAGCGCGCCGCCAAGGCAGGGAGGTAAGCGACGAGCTACCTTACAGCTACCAGGCGATGCTTTTCTGGGCCGGCCTTCGGGGGGCCGTTGGTGTGGCGTTGGCGGCTCTTTTATCCGGAGAGAATTCATATGCCCTCAAAGCTACCGTCCTTGTTGTCGTCGTGCTCACTGTAATCATCTTTGGCGGTACAACAGCGCGGATGCTTGAGATATTAGGTATCCGAACAGGAGTTGTCGAGGAGGTGGATAGTGATGATGAGTTTGATATCGAAGCAGCCCCTGGCGGGTCTTACTATAAGCGATCTGGGACCGGCATTGGGTACAACCCGCGGAGTAGGAATGGTGCGGTGCGTATGGATCCAGTTGATACTGGAAATGGCAGTCGCAACACGGGACCGGAGAGAGGAAGCTATGTGTCCGGCCATCGGTCACCATCGTTTCCCACTTCACGTACGGGAAGCCTAAGTCGCAAGGCATCACGCCAAGCCGCAACTGACGAGGTGGAGCGGGCCGAGTTGCTGGGCAATCCCGGTAACATAACAGACTCTGATCTGGGAAGCGACATTGACATTTCAGATCTGCCACCTCCGGCGCATAGATCACCGCGGAGTAAAGCAAGTCCGATACTTACCCCTAGTGGTGGTTCCGAAGAAGAGGGTGTATTTTCATACCCAACATCGGGGCATCGAAATGTGGCACCAGTCTCTGCTAGGACAGCATTCCGGCAGCTATTTACTTCCCATGATCCCCAAGCATTGTTCCGGCAACTTGATGAGGATTATATCAAGCCTAAGTTGCTATTAGACGGCACGAACCCGGGGCCGAGAGGGAACGGCGAAGGCGGGTCTGGATCTAGCTAAGTGTGTACAAGATTGTATGAAAAGGAGAACCGTTATAGTTTCCAGACGGGTCATTGCTTGACGTTGTATTGGGAATTTATAGGCATATCTCGGAGTTTTGGACAGTATGTGTACATCGTAAATAGGTGCTTCAATAGAAACATTACGATTTAATGCCTTGCCTTCTCAAAGCTAGCCCTTAATGGCGGCGGGTATAATGCTATTATGGCGGAACTATGGCTGTGCTAGGTAAATGTTATAGACGAGTGTAATTGCTCAGGCGTGCCAACAATCTTGCTATAAAGCAGAGTGTGTATATCTATTAAGAAATGGCATGTCTAGTGTTACGAGTTATTATTATCATGTTAATAAAGTGGTGGATAGTCTTGACGGTCAAATTTTAGGATCTCAAAGAACAGACAGAGAAAGAAGAAGAAAAAAAAGAGAGTGAAGAACCAGCTGTAAAGGATGAATTCCACTAAAAATGAATATCAGAATGTTACAAGTCAAAAAACAAGCTTAGTTGGACCAGTAGGGATTTGAACCCTAGACCTCTCGCAATCATAGTAAAGCATGCAAAGCGAGCGCTCTACCCCTGAGCTACAAGCCCGATTCACTTTGTCGGCCGAATCGGGTCACGAACTAAAAAATTATCCGCTATTGTCGTAGATATTACCCAAGCGCTTGGGCCTCCGAAGTTGTCCCTTTGAATGTTAGCTGTCAACCTTCCATTAGTTAGAGGCTTTCAATAAGTAATCCATAGGGAGACAACAGGAGTTCTTTCGAGATACTAAACTGACGTGTGAAAGAAGAATATGCCAGCTTAATGCAAGACAAGCAACTGATAATCTCCTAGTCTTAAATATGTCACTAATGTTAGAGAATTGAATTATTAAACGTTTATCAAACAGCAAAGGACAGCAGCCATAATTAACAAGAATAAGAACAAGAACGAAAACATAGTTATAGCGACAAGTAGTGAAGTTCGTCACTGCCAAGGTACTTATTAGTCTATAAAGAGGACAAGTGTTTGCACCTCACTTATTTAAGTGGCTTATATGGAATATAAGTAGGTATGTAGAACACACGGTTAATAGGTATGTAGTAGCTCTTTGAATTACTTGTAAATAGGGGTTCTAAGCCACCTAGTGTATTGTACTTTACAGTGAGGTAGGTAGTGCATTTTAGTGGTCTTAGATTGGGTCATGTTCTAATTATGGGGCCCAGCACTAACTAAAAGCGAACAAACCACCGACCCTCGCTGCCTCGTCATCCCCTGTTCCCCCATTTCCCCCCCATCCTCCGACAATCAGCCGGGTTTAGGGACAGTTCGAGGTGGCATTGGTTCAAGTTACATCAAGAACGCGGTCGCCTTGCCTTTAAGCCAGGAAACATCCAGCAACACCAGGGCGCTACGACCTCGCCGTTTGGGGCACCTGTTCGAGTGCACCATCTGATATCGCCCTCCAGCTATGTGCCCAAGCTAGCTGCAGAGCGCCGATCGCATCCATGCCATAACAGGACATCCAACTGTCGTCCACCTCCTTCCGACCCTCCTTCCGACCCGATCCCACTCCTCCTGCCTCCACGACCGCCTTGCCTCGAACCAGTGTCATGGCCTCCTACAGCAACACCGCGCCCGTGGCCCGGCCAGGCCAGCAGGTTGCATATGGTGCGCCTGCCCAGATGCCCATACAGATGCCCATGCAGATACAGGCCCCGACCGCCCCTGCTGGCACCTTCGCTCCGGGCACCAAGATCCACGTCGGTGACCACAAGGTAGTGATCCAGAAGTACCTGTCCGAGGGCGGCTTCGCACATGTGTATCTTGTGACGCTTCCACGGCCCGTCGATGGAACCGACCAGGCTGTCTTGAAGAGGGTCGCCGTGCCGGACAAGGAGACCCTGCGAGGGATGCGGACCGAAGTCGAGACCATGAAGCGGTTGAAGGGACACCGACCAATAGTCACATATATCGATTCACACGCGTCCGAACGCAAGGGGGGTGGCTATGAAGTCTTCCTGCTGATGGAGTATTGCAACGGGGGAGGCTTAATCGACTTCATGAACACCCGACTGCAACACCGCTTAACCGAACCCGAGATCCTCAACATCTTCTCTGACATTGCCGAAGGCGTCGCCTGTATGCATTACCTCAAGCCGCCGTTACTACACCGAGACCTCAAAGTCGAAAATGTCCTTATCACCTTACATGGTTCGAAAAGGAAGTTTAAGCTATGTGATTTTGGCTCAGCAGCGCCGCCGAAACCAGCACCCCAGACTGTGGTCGAATGCCGGTTGTTGGATGAAGATATCCAGAGGCATACGACTATGCAATACAGGAGCCCCGAGATGATTGATGTATATCGAAAACAACCGATAGATGAGAAGTCAGACATTTGGGCCCTGGGTGTGCTGCTCTACAAGCTCTGCTATTATACTACCCCCTTTGAAGATCAAGGGCAGCTCGCCATTTTAAACGCGAGCTACAGGTTTCCTAGTTATCCGGTATTCTCTGATAGATTGAAACAACTAATCGGTGAGTTTCTGGCTGTCATCGCTGACAGGTTATTTTGTGTGCTAACGTCGTAAAGCATCCATGCTCCGGGAAAACCTAAGATCCAGACCAAATATCTACCAAGTACTACGAGAAAGCTGCTTAATGCAGGGCCGGGAAGTGCCCATACATGATGTATGTTAAGACCCGGACATAGCAAGTTCAGCAGCCTACTAACAGTACTCCAGATATATGCGGAACGCGCACAGTCCGAGCCAAGGCGCACCGAGAAACAATCCAATACAGACCAAACAGGTAGAAGCACACCAGGTATAGGCGCAGTTTACTCTCCGCCTCCACAGCAACAGAGTCAGGCGATCCCAGATATTGCGCCCATGCGACGTGGCAGACCAGCAGTTTCTAGCCAGGCTGCTTCCTCACACGCACCGAAACCGAGCCCATCTCCTATGAGGGTGACAAATGGTGACCCCTTCGCCGCTCTAGATTCTAAATCAGGGGCAAAAGGAGACGAGCTCTCTTCGAGGTTCCCAACTCTCGACCAGTTCTCTTTGCTTCTTGACCAGGGTGCCAAGTTTGACTTTGATAGTCCAACTTCACCGGCCGTCCCTGAATTGCACAAGCAGCTTGGCCAACAAGTCACAAACCCGCTAGTAGACGATGCCTTTGTCAGGGCTCAAACCAAGCCATCACCAGCACCTCCAGGCCAGAGACAGTCCGCAGATCTCAGCCGCGTGAAGTCTCCGGCGGTCACAGCAGAATTGCAAAGACCATCACTGCCACCCGCTTCCGTCCATAAGTCTACGCCCGCGCCTTCGAAGCCGTCCTCCGAGATGAGTCGTGCTTCGGCTATTATATCCAGCAATCCCGAGCTTCAGGCCATTGCATCCCCTCCATCACAGTCTAGCCAAGAAGCCACGAGAAGGCCTGTTATGGTTTCAACTGGGACGATGACAGGTACTCCTCCACCAGAACGGCAACTTCGCGACTTCCCCCCGATCCACCGATTCCCCCCAGCCGATCAGTATCGCTCTCCAAGCGTGCCGCCGCGATCGCATGATACGGTCGGTCTCAGCCAACAGCGACCAGATCCAATCCAGTTAACCGGACCGTCACCAAGTTCGCGAGTCCCCCTGGCACAGCCACAGCCACAGCCACAGCCACAGCCCGGGCATGGCAGGCATACATCATCATCGAGACCATCTCTAGAAGGTGCCCGACCAAGTCTTGAATACCATGAGCCGTTGGCCAGGTCGTCATCTGGGCGTCCTAGACCAACCAGCACATATCTAGAATCAAGCATGGATTACCTTCGCGAACGTGAGGCGGCTCCTAGGCCGTTACGTTCTCCTGGTCTCCCATCGTCGAAGTTCCCAGAAAAGGTGGGTTCCATATCGATTGACCCATTGGACGAAACTGCGATCGAATCGAATGTGGATTTCCTCCGATCAATGGAGGACTCCGACGGAAAGAAGAAAGACAAGGCTGCTAAGCATCATGCGAAACGCTCTAGCCTAAGTTCATTATCGGGCACTAAGAATATCCTGGCTGGGAAATTTGGTGACGCCTTTAAGCGTTTCGAGGGTAGCACGGGATCAAGCGCGCGAACACCGTCTCCTCTCAAGGACATGGAACGTCATGATCTAACTCCGATTGCGGGTTCAGAGGCCACCGATGGCCGCAGTGATGACGGCCATATTCCCGGGGAGCCCGAAATGACTCCAGAGATGCGCCGAGAGCTGGAGGCACAGAGTGCCGCGGAAGAAGAGCGACGAGTCGAGGCAGCGGCGGCCGAGTACAGACAACGAATGGCGGAGCGAGACTCGGGCGGATCGGCTCTGTTACCGAAGAGCATCGGTGGTGTGTCCCGGGCTGTGAGCATACAGAACAGGGTGCAGAACTTACTAGATGAGTCCCAGAAGTCCTCTCAGCAGGTTCAACGCACTGCAACGGGATATGGCAAGTTTTCGGACGAAGCGACAGCGCAAACCCGTGTGGAAAAGCAGGCCCCTGAGGTTCCTCGTAAACCTACCGGCTCTAGACCAGCCGCACCACTGAAGCCAATCGCAACCTCCGAATCGCTTGCACGTGGACGACCTGTTGGCCAAGTGGCTGATCCGGTCTCATCAAACCGACCGGTACCCCCCTCGAAACCGAATCCCGCGCCCAAACCCACGCATCTAAACAACATTCCGACCGGGAGCAGCCGGGCAAGGTCACCGCCAAAGCAGCAACGGTCATCGGGACCAAGTTCCTCGTCTGACCTGCTGGTAGGTGTAGATTTACCGGGACGTCCTGTGCTAGACATGACTTTCGAGCAGAAGGAGGACTACATCAGTGACTTTAGCAAAAGATTTCCCAGCCTGGGCGCCATAGAGATGGTCGAGCGCGACATCGATGCTGAGGCGGACCGGAAAGGAGGGCGCTAGACAGAAGAGTGAGTCTTATTTAGCCATGTTCGCTTGAGGCGAGCACACTCTCGAACATATGATAAGTAGGCGCATTTTCCTCGATGAAAATCATCAGAAGAGTCCCGGGAGGGGAGGGGGGTTTATGGCACATAGGTAGAAAGTGGGCAAACAATGCCTACAAACGTAGAAAGTGGAAACGGCGTTTTACAGACAGGCACCCTTGAATAATGCTGCTAAAGGATCAGTTAACATTTATATAACAAAGCATTTGGATGGTCGATATTCCTTTTTTTATTGAAAAGAAGACGAGAGAAAAAAACCAAGTATATAAAAAAAAAAGACAAAACGACAAACATATCAAGATTCAACATACGAATCCTAAGATGCTGGCTGTTTACGGGGTTTATAGCATAAAAAACATAAATGTCGGGGATCGCTATCCACTTATGTATTACTTCGATTGCATTTTAGAATTACTACGAGGGGGTTATAGAGCCTATACATATCGAGAAATGTTCCACCTAGAATTGCCTAGTTTATAGAGAAACAAGAAAACATTGTCTTGTCCTCTCTAAGCACGTCTTTTATTGAACCCCCTTTTTTTTTTTCTACACTGAATCCATCATTCGTCCCGTTTATCGATGAACATTACCACTTTTACCCAGATACCTACTAAACTAACTA